AAAAAAAAAAAAAAAAAAAAAAAAAAAAAACTAAGTTAGACACTCATGAGTTCAATTCAATTCGAACTCGTTTAATTGATAAGTCTGTTCAAGCTCAACTCAATAATATTAATAAATATTTCGAGTTCGAGTTCGTTCCTTATTTATCAGCTCATTTAGTTAAGCTCATTTAGTTAACGAGTCGAGTTCGACTTGACTCGTAAAAGCTTGAGCCCAAGCTCGAACTCAGATCGACTCGTTAATACTACACCTAATTTCTAGGTAAGTCATGACTACTTTTCATTAATTTTCCAACCTTTTTCTTGTATGAATATTGGGTCTCTCAAAGTCTTGTAAAAATAGACTTTGCCCTCATGTGAGCCATAATTTATTGGACAATGCAAACTTTTTTTCCCCCCTTTATTAGATTCTCAGCTAGAATCACTGCAATGGTAGTTGTACATTTTTCACTTGTCATGTTGAAAACTCAGAAAATATGATAGTACAAATTTATTTCTCAAAGTCAACTTGTAATTTAGCCAAAAGCATTTTCTCCCTCCCTAAAAATAACCGTTCTTCTTTAAACATGTGTGCACGGGGTTAGTTTTTGTGATGAAAAAAAAAAGAAAAAAAAAATATATTTATGAGAAATATAAAATTCACTATTTCCATGATAATTCTAATAAAAAAAGGCGAAATTACATTTTTAGTCTTGTTGGTTTAACGCTTTAGTATTTTTGGTCCCAAGATTTCAACTTTTTGTCTTTTAATACTGTAATTTAATATTTGCTGTAATTTCAGTCATTCGGGACTGAAATTGCAACGAAAGTTAATATTACATGACTTAAATTGCTAATAAAAAATCTATCAGTTCTTCGAGACTGAAAATGCAACAAAATTTAAAATAACAGGACATAAATTGCTAAGAAAGATTTTTTATTAGCAATTTATGTCTTGTTATTTTAAATTTTATTGCATTTTTAGTCACAAGTGACTGAAATTGCATTGAATTTTAAAATCATAAAACTCAATAGCAAATGTTCAAATCTTAGTACTAAAAACAACAACACGACTAAAATTGCAAATTTGCCTAAATAAAAATATGGAAAAAGGACCCAATCACAATTTTCATGATACTTTTAAAATTAGTTGCTACTATAGTAGATAAATGTCCAACATGTGGAATCAATTATATGTCATAATAAGAATACAAAATGATAGGGGAGAAAAAGCAAACATAAAATTCACTCCTCAACACTTGATTACTAATTATTCCTATGTTGATGCTCATTGAAAACATTTATTATTATCAACTATGGCCTACACACATATGACAACAATGTCTTTTGTTTTACTTTCCAAATTTCATAATTAATTAATTTCAACTAAATACCCAAAACAAGACCTGCATGCACTCTTGGGCCGACCTTGGACGGTCAAGGTGACACATATTTATCGCGAAGCGAATTTTGCGGCCAATCATTTAGCTTCCTTTGCTTCGGACGGATTGTTTGGGTACCTATTCTACTCTAGTCCCCCCGTTGGGGTTCGACAATGGCTCCATCATGATATTCTTGATGTTTCCTATTCACGTAATGTGTGCGACTTGAGCCGCTAGGCTTGAGACCTATTCTTTGTACCAAAAAAAAATAAAAAATTGTTCCAACTAAAATATGTAGCAAAAGTTCAAAGTAAGAATATTAATAATAACAACCTCATGAGAGTGTTTATTCAAAATATAGTTGGAAATAATGTGATTCATTTCATTTTTAGTTTATAAATTTTATTAATCATCAATATGTGGGAAATATATGAAATAGCTTTTTTAGTTATGAAACAAAATTTGTATGGTTATTAATTATATTCAACATATAGAGAAAAAAAGTGATAATTAATCTTCATATAATATATATATATATATATATATATATAATATTGTGTGTTTGGTGACAGGTCAAATCCAGAAATTAACCATTTGTGCCCGATTTGATTCCTCATAGGATTCTATGCTTGAAAAAATAGCTGTCTTAAAGTGAAGTCTTCATTATTTATTATTTATTTTTGTTTTTATTAAGTAAAAAACATGTTGTTGGCTATAATTATTATTTTGCTTTTGTGCTGATGAAATTGTGTGTAAAGTCGCCACAGAAAGTTGCAAATGTATGAAAGATTTAAAGGTTAACCATTTTTGTATGGAACAAAAATGGATTTATGCATGCCCGAACCAATTTTGTAATTAATTATACAAGAAGTTCATACATATTTGAATATTTGTTGATCATGTCTATATAATTTATGAAATTATAAAACAAATAATAAAATTAATTGTAAAACCTAATAATATTTATATTTGCATTTAAATGATAACACTTCCATAACTACGATTTGACATGTCAAAATGTAATTAATATTAATTTAAAAATGTATATTAATTAAATAAATTTATATACCAACTGATGTAGAACGTGAATGACAAAAGAGAATGAAAAATAACATTCTCTCTCTCTCCATCTCTCTCAAGAACACACCGAATGTATCAGATTTATTCAATTCATCAATCGTCCCTCCGCTAGGATGAGAAAGATAACAATATATAGCCTAAGACCCCCAAAACCCCTAACTTTCGAGACAAGATAAAGCTCATAATAATTAATCATTCTGCTAATACTAAATAACGTAAAATAAAGAAACATAATAATCTATCTATTACTATATAATTAGGCAACCCACTTACTAAGAATAGTAAGTGTTTTAGTTGGCTCTCATTATTATTACTATTTATAGAAAGTTAGTTCTGATTTTTTATTATTTTATTAAACGTGCTTCAACTTCCGTTAATTATTTTTTTTTCATTTTTAATAATAAGTTAATAGTAAAAGTGGACCTATATTTGTTATTACCATTTATAGATAGACATTTTAAAATATTTTGTCTGTTTTGATTTCTCATTAATATAAAAGTAAATTTCTTTTTACATGTAAATGATATGTTGAATCACAGTGAATTATTTATGATGTATGTTAAATAATAATTTATATTTAAAGCCTTCCTAAAAATATGAAGGTACTAGATAATTATATGACACTTATTTAAATAAAAGAATGGTTCACAAATAAATAAATTGTAAGTATATGTATAGAAAATAATAGTTAATAAATAAGATTACATTATAAATTATAAAACCGGACAAGTAAGAAATAATATATTCAAGTGTCAAAATACAATTTAAATTATATGATAAATTCAAACAAACTGTAATAAAATGTGTTTAGATAATAAAATAATTTGAGAAAATTCTTATACCACAACTTTATATATATTTGCGCATTTAGTACATGATGTTCCAATAAAATCAATTTAGTTACTCAACTTTTCGTTTATCAATAAATTTTGGTCAACATCGTTAGATTTCATTAGAAAAAAAATAACGGTTTTAGAAAGAAATTTGTTAATACTATGTCAATTTGTTTTATTAATAAAAAAACTAAAGAATATATATATATAGTAATCTACTTTTAGGCTTTTAATTCTGAACTTTACATTGTCGCTTCTTGAGTTACAAATAAAAAAACACAAGATACTGATATATACTGAACTTTACATGTTTCTCGAGTTACAAATAAAAAGACACAAGATACTGAGATATAATGAGAAATAAAATATACAAATATAAACATTGTAAATAGTAGTCTATTTTAATTGCATATAAAACTTATTTATTCTATTTATATTTTCTTATTTCATTTATTTTTAATAGTTCTGTACATTTGCATGTGCCACGATACTAGTAAGAATAAAAGCCATAAGATAATTAATTAAGCTTCAACATCCAGCTTCAAAAGTCATCGCGAACTTCTCTACTCCACCAATACATAATTATAATTAGAAATATTATTATTATATAAGAGGACTAAAGCAAATAGTTATATATTTTTTTATGAATTATTTAAAATTAATCAAAACCATTTTTTTTTTATAAATGTAGATATATATATTTATTAGCATATGTCTAATTTTGTATTCTACCAGTTATAATTTACTATTATTATTATTATTATTTTTATTTTGATTTGTTTGGCATATCTTCAGGTTTCGAATTTTGCAAATAGGTCCTTTAAAATTGAACTTTTACCAGATATTCATTCTGCTGACAAGGGACTCGAAGAGCCTGAAAACAACACAACACAAGCAGTACCCAAAAACTCATTTCACTCTCAACATTCCACCATTCTCAGCCATTACACTTTCTCCCGAAAAACCTTAAACCTCAAACCTTAAAAAGCTCACACTCCCTCCTCCTACATCTGCTAACAACAAAATATATATATATATTAAAAAAAATATATATATTAAAACAAACCACCTGCAACTCCACCATCTAACCTTCCTCTGCCGACTGCCATGGCATGCAAATACTCGTTCTTCCTCTCTCTAACCTTCTCTCTCTTCCTCGCAACCCACGCACTCTCCGAAGCTGAAATCTTGCTCCAGTTCAAGAACTCCATTGAAGACCCCACCAACGCTCTCTCCGACTGGTCAAACGCCACAGCCGCCGCGGGCCATTGCCGCTGGGCTGGAGTTTCTTGCAGAAACACCGAAGGCCCATTTGCTATTTCGTCTCTAAGTCTCCAAAGCTTGAATCTTTCCGGTGAAATTTCACCTTCCTTATGCGGCCTAGCTAATCTCACCCACCTCAATCTCGCTGATAATTTCTTTAACCAGCCAATTCCTCTTCATCTCTCCGAGTGTAGTGTTTTGGTTGCTTTGAATCTCAGCAACAATCTCATCTGGGGTACAATCCCTGAACAGATTTCAGCTTTTAGGTCATTGGAGTTTCTTGATTTGAGCAGAAACCACATCGAGGGGGAAATTCCAGAAGGGATTGGTGCATTGCGCCGGCTCAGGGTCCTGAACCTGGGGAGCAACTTGATTTCAGGTAGTGTCCCGGGTGTTTTTGGTAATTTTACCGAGCTTGTGGTTCTTGATTTGTCTCACAATCCGTTCTTGGCTAGTGAGGTTCCTGTTGGCATTGGTGGGCTCAGTAAATTAGAACATCTTTTGCTCCAAAGCTCAGGCTTTTATGGAGATTTAGTGCCTGATTTGTTTCATAGTCTGGGGAGTTTGCAAATGCTTGACCTTTCACTGAATAATATTACTGGGGTTTTGCCAAAGGTCGATTTTTTCCTTCCGAATTTGGTTTCTTTCGATGTTTCCCGAAACAGGCTTTCGGGGCCATTTCCTAGTGGGATTTGTGAAGCTAAGGGGCTTATAAGCTTGAGCATAGATTCTAATTTCTTCAATGGCTCGATCCCGGATGATTCGATCGTAAAATGCGATAATCTAGAGAGGTTTGAAGTTCAGAACAATGGGTTTGCAGGTGATTTTCCTGCTCTACTTTGGTCTTTGCCCAAGATTAAGCTCATCAGAGGCGAAAACAACAAATTTAGTGGCGCGATACCCGAATCAATCTCGGTGGCTCCTCAGCTAGAGCATGTTCAGATTGATAACAACAGTTTCACCACTAAGTTCCCATTCGGCATCGGAAAAATTAAGACCCTCTACAGATTCTCTGCGTCTTTGAACGGTTTGCACGGCGAACTTCCTCCCAATTTCTGCGACTCTCCAGTCCTCAGCATTATAAACCTTTCCCATAATTCTCTCTCTGGAAAAATTCCTGAAGTGAGGAACTGTAGAAAATTAGTATCTTTATCTCTGGCCAATAATAGTTTTATTGGAGAAATCCCGGAGTCTCTCGCTGATCTGGGAGTGCTGACGTACCTCGATCTTTCTCGAAATAATCTCACTGGTTCAATCCCACAAGAGCTCGGAAAATTAAAACTTGCTCTATTTAACGTGTCGTTTAATCGGTTATCCGGCAGGGTCCCGATTCCCTTGATTTCGGGCCTTCCAGCTTCGTTCTTGCAAGGAAACCCAAGTTTATGTGGGCCCGGGTTAGCCCATTCGTGCTTAGACAATAACAAGCCAATGAGCAGCAAATCGTCAGGCTTTGTGAAACTCACACGCGCCGCCTTAGTTTTTATAGCTCTGGCTTTTGTGTTTTTGGTTTTTGCTTTCGGATATTATATGATGCGCGCTCACGAGAAAAAATGTCATTCGGGAGTATGGAGATCCGTTTTTTTCTACCCTCTAAGAATCACCGAGCACGACCTGATTATGGCAATGGACGAGAAAACAGCCAGGGGACTTGGCGGCCATTTCGGAAGAGTTTATGCAGTTAATTTGCTGAGTGGCGAGATTGTTGCTGTGAAAAAGATAGTTAAATTCGGTAGCCAATCTTCAAAAGCCTTGAAAAACGAGGTGAAGACTCTAGCAAAGATTAGGCACAAGAACGTCGTGAAGATTCTTGGGTTTTGCCATTCAGACGAGGCTATATATTTGATATACGAGTATCTACCAAAGGGGAGCCTTGGGGATATTCTTGGGAAAAAAGATTTTGATCTGCCGTGGAGCGTGAGATTGAAGATCGCCATAGGCATTGCTCGGGGGCTTGCTTATCTTCACAAAGATTACGTTCCGAATCTGCTGAATCGAAACGTGAGGTCGACTAATGTTCTTCTTGACGATGATTTCGAGCCGAAGCTTACGGATTTCGGTTTAGATCGAGTTATTGGACAAAGTGCCTTTCAGTCGATAGTTTCTTCTGAATGCACATCTTCTTGTTATTTGGCGCCCGGTATGAAATTAATTTTATCTTCTGTATTTTTAAGACGACATTGTATCTCACTTTGTACTGCTAAACATTGCATTTTTTTCATTCAAATCATTTCAGAATATGGCTACACAAAGAAAGCCACCGAACAAAGTGACACGTACGGCTTTGGGGTTGTCTTGTTAGAGCTCTTGACCGGCCGACAAGCCGAGAAAAACGAGACATGGAACGATGGACCTTCTCTAGATGTCGTTACGTGGGTGAGGAGAAATGTTAACATAACTAACGGGCCCACGAGAATTCTCGATCGAAAGATTTCAAGCTCGTGTAGAGAACAAATGTTGAAGGCTCTTGAAATCGGCATGGACTGCACGAGCATTGTACCGGAAAAGAGGCCGTCGATGAATGAAGTTGTTAGGGCCCTTCAGTCTCTTCAAACTTCACCTTCATAGTGCTTTTCACAGTTCAGATTCTCTCTGTACTGTGAGGCAAATGTTCCTTGCTTTGATCCAAATTCAGTTTTATGTGAGTTGTTGTTCTGTACTATGTATTCTGTTTGTTATTGTTTTAATATTTTGTATATGATCAGCTCTCTTTTTTAGAGATATATTATTGAATTGAATTTATTTTCTTCCTGGTATTTCATAATGACAATGAAGAAAAATCTACTCTTTAATTCTAAGAAAAAACCATAAAACTGCATAATTATAATTAATACTGTCCAAAAACATCACAAATCATACCAGCTACTAAAATTCTATATACCTGCCTGAGTGTTCTGTGTTCATCTGCATTATACCAAAAAATCATAAAGCAGCAAAACACAGCTAACTATATAATTATCAAGAAAACTAGTTCTTATTCCTTATCCAAAAGTGCAGTAAGCTCTCTAACAACCTCATGAATCTCCTCATCTTTCCTCTCAGCAAGCCTGGCTTTCATTCCGGCCGCCGCCCGCCGGAAAACCTCGCCGGAATCCTCCACCATCACTCGCCTGACGGCTTCTGCTAGCGCCTCTCCAAGAAGCCTCCCGTCCTTTTCCCGGACCACCTCGACTCCGACTCCCACATTCTCCACGAGCCTCGCGTTGACCGGCTGGTCAAGATGCATCGGCATAGCCACAATCGGAACCCCCATCGTCATGCTCTCCATAACCGAGTTCCACCCGCAGTGGCTCACGAAACCCCCGACATTCTCGTGGCCGAGTATCCTCGCCTGTGGGGCCCACCCCAGGACGATATTGCCCCTGCCCGTTGCCCGGACCCTGTCCAAAAACCATCCAGGCAGGGCCCCCGCCAGTTCCTCTCCTTCCACTTTTGGAAATCGCACGACCCATATGAAGTTGACCCCGCTGAGCTCGAGGCCGAGGGCAATTTCGTCCATATCGTCCCTCGACAAAAAGTACTCGCTCCCAAACGAGACGAAAACCGTGGACTTCCTCTCCTTGGAGTCGAGCCACTCGAAGATGTCGAGGTCCCGTTTTTCAACAGGGCCGACGGGCTCTTGGACGAGTGGGCCGACCGGGATGAACCTTTTAGAAACGAGCGAGCCGGCGTAGTCGATGTAAGGCGCCTCGATTTCCCGGAAGCCCTTGAAGAGGACTACCCCGCACGACTCCTCGATCCCACGGAAAACCATCTCTCGTTCGACTGGATCGTTCGCGCACTCGAGCAATTTTCCGACCTCTCGGGCCGATTCGTAGTCTCGGAATTGAATCTCGGGAAACGGGTAGGCCCGATCGCCTGACGGGTATTTCGAGTAGTGGCACATGACGCTAGCCATCGTGCAGCTGCACGTGACGAACTGCACGGCCGGGATGCCGTGGTCCCGGGCGAGGGCCGGGATCCATGGCTGGAGAAAATCGTACACTATTAGGTCGGGAGAGAGGTCCGTGAGGATATCGGAGAAGCCATCCATTGCCTCGGGGGATTGTAAGGCGGACTTGAGGCTTGGCATTAGGTTCGGAGGGAGGCCGTTTGTGGTGTGGAGGGAGCGCGGGAGGCCGGGGGAGGATGGGAGGAGGAGAGGGACGAGGTTTATCGAGCGGCGGCCGGCGGTGGTGGTGATTTTTTGCTCGATGGAGGAGAGTGTGGCTAAGGTGGAGACGAGGTAGACTTTGACATTGGCTCGGGAGGCGGCAATTTTCGTGCCGAGCTCGAGGAATGGGGTGATGTGGCCATAGCCGAGCCAGGGGAACATGACTATTTTGATCTCTTTCGAGTTCTTCATCTTTGGCTGAAGTTAAGGGCAGAAAAAAAATGGTGTTTTTGTTCTTTGCAGTGTTGTTGAGGAGAAGTGAATGGTTTTTTGGGGTGTTTGGGACGGTATTTGTAAGGAGAGATGATATGTTGAGAGAGGGAAAGAAAATCGGTTTGCATATTTGGTGTTGTGAGGAAAATGGAAAGAGTTAACGGTATTTGGATAATACGGTTTTATGCAGTTAAGTTGAGATTCTTTGTTCGATTTTTTTTCCTTGCTCGACATATTTGAGATCTTTTATTTCTTTTATTTTTTATTTTTTTTGCATGAATTATATTTGTATTTAATTCTTAAAAATTTCGGGTTTATTTTGTGCTTATTAATTATTATTATAATATCTTGGCCTAAAATAAAACTCGTAATATATATGTTATTATCATAAGAAAGTGTTGAACACAATTATCCAATCATGCAATAATTACGAGAGAATAAAGTATTTGGATGAGATTTTAGGGAGATTCCAGGTTTCTTTACGCAATTATTTAGCCGGGGTTAGTAAACGTTAGATCAACTATCCACGACGGTTACATGATGATTTAACGGTTAAAAATCTCGACGGAATGGTTCCGTAACGAGACTGTAGCATTTCCCGAGATTTTACTCGCCATATATCATATAGAACGCATGCAATTACCGAAAATTGTCGTGATCGCTATTAATTTTCGACATTTTATCCATTTGTCAAATACGACTTAATCTTCAAAAATCCTTTGGATAATCAAATCAATCTCTAATTCTGCTTGTCTTGTGAAGATAACAAGATTATTTAATTACCTCATTCATCAATAATCATATTAAGCACCACATAAACAGGCAATAATAAATAAATAATAATCATTAAACAAAACATGACCATAATAATAGATAAATGTACAACACTAGTCATTACATAACAAAAAGGACCAAAATGAAAAAAAAAAGTTACAATTTTGGTAACAATTTATCAATTCATTTCCAGTTTTGGGCATCCCCATATTGTTACATTTTCTTCCTCTTTCACATGAAAACCAATTTTCTTCAACTCAGGTAAGCACAGCAGCTCCATTCTCTCAATCTCCACCAGGGACCCACCAGCAATTTCAAACAGTTCCTTCAGCCCATCACAGCTCTTGATCTCCACAACTCCAGGCCTCACAGGACCCAAATCATGAAAATTCTCCACCAGGGGCATCTCAGCAATTCTCAGAGTTTCCAAATTTGGCGCCTTGAACCCAATCCCCTTCACCCCTTCTAGGCCCCACACCTCCATCTCCCTCAGCTCCGGAAAAAAGTCCCCCGGCGGCGGCGGCTCGAAAATCGCGCTCATCTTTCCGCAGAACTTCACGTGCAGGACCTCGAGCATCCCGATTGCTTCCCAATTTTTTTGGGGGGCTGAAATGCTAATATTTTCCAGCCGGGGGCACTCGCCGACCCTTAGCGTCGTCAGGGAGGACCGAGCCCAACCGAGCTCGACTCTCCCGAGGCTCGGTAGGCCCCACAGGTGGAGGGCCGTCAGGTTCGGCAGCATCAGAGCCTCCTCCGAGCCTGAGCCTTCGTTGTTGAAGAGCGACTCGAGGTTCTTGCAGTATTTGATGTATAGAATCTCGAGATTTTCGAGCTCGCAGCAGCTGAGCTCGGTGAGATTCGGACAGAACTCCAAGTACAAGGATTTGAGCCCTCGGAAAACACCGATGCTTTTGAGCTTCGCCGCCTCGGAAATCCATAGCGTCTCGAACGTGTCGAGATTGTTGTCTGAATTATTAACGAACGCGTGCTCCATTTCGTTGCACCTCTCGACCCAGCAAGCCTTGATACTGTTCTTAATCCAGTCGGTGCATAAATAGTGCAGCGAAGCTAAAAAAGAGTTGTCGATGAGGATGATAAACTCAGATTCTTGCAGCAGGAGATCGATGCAGAGTGGGGCTTTTGCGAAACCGCGGAACTCTAAGCGTTTCCCGAATTTTCGCTTAGTCACTTGGCTGAGGTAAGCGTCTCGTATACCAGTCTCGTCTGAGTAGTCTTGCTTGTCGGGCAAGTAATGCTCGGCCGGCGCCTCTGAAGGGTAAATTAGGAAATTAAACCGTTCTAACGAGTCCTTCAAGAATGTCGGGTACATTTTGAGGAGATTGAGGAAATGAAAGCCGCTGATCGGGGCATTGTGGCCATTTTCTTCATCTCTCCAGTTGGAAATGCTCCAATTGCAGTATGATTCGGAGCTTTCTTGCTGTTCGTGCGTCGGATGAGTCAGCTCGGGAGGTATACCATTCGCGCCGAGGTCTATAAGGAGTTTATTGAGAAAAATATTTTCCATGCTCGGGAAAACTGGACCCAGCACGCGACAATCATGATCGAAATTCGGAGATGGTTTCAAGAAAGTTCCGGAATGATCAAGAATTCGGAGGGTGGGGATTCGATCGAGTCCTTGCAATGTGGTTAGTTTCGGACAGTCTTTGATGTGGATTTCCCCGAGGTTTATGTTGTTCGAAAGGGACGGTAGTTTCTCGAGCAGTGATAATTCCGACACGTCGAGGTAGTTAAGAAGGCACATTTTGTTGAACGAGCCATCCTCAATCTCGGTTAGATTCTTACATCCCGAGAGATCGAGCCTTTCCAACTCCCGTAACTCGCTCAAGCTCTCGCTTTCAAGCTTTTCCAACGACATGCATTTCGACAGACAGAGTTTACGAAGAGTCGTGCCGAGGCTCGAAAGGAAGGAAAAGTCTTTCACGTCCGTTCTCGATAAGTTCAGCTCCTTTAAATGCGCGGCGTTTTTGAAAAACTCGACTCGAATTTGCGCTAATTTCGTCGAGCCCGACAGGTCGAGGACCTCGACTCTCGACAGGCCTTCGATGGGAGTTAGCCTCGTCAGCTCCTGACACTCGCGCATGTAAACGTACCGCGGGTTGGCGATGTTGGACGGAAGCTTCCGGAAGGCCGTCCGGGAAATATCCAGATAGTCGAGGCTCTCGAGATATTCCAAACACGGGTCGAGAAACTCCTCGACTTTCTCAGCTCCCGAGATGTCGAGGATTTGGAGGCGGCTGAGTTTGGCGATCCTCCGTATTCTCGTTAGGGAGAGGCAATCGCTTAGGGAGAGAGACTCGAGTTTTTGGAGGTCGTGAATAACAGGGAGAGTCTCGATCTTTGTGCCGGATAAGTTTATGATTCGGAGTTTCGTGTTCGTCACGAACATCTTGTCGTGAATGCTCGTCACAGATTTGTCGCCCGAGATGTCGAGCACCTCGAGGTTTTTGAAATTTCGCAAGCTTTCGAGCTTTTTCAGGCTTTTGCAGTCTTTAAGGATTAGGATTTCTAGTTTGGTGAGTTGGGTGTAAAAGCTTTCAGGCAGGTACTTAATATTGAGACAGGACAAGTTGAGGTTTTTAATGTTTGGCATGTCGATGAAGAAATGGTCAGGGATTTGTTTGAGGTTGATCGAACCCGATAGCTCGAAAGCCGTGAGGTGTTGCCATCCACGATGCGGAGGAGTGATTTCGAGAATTTGCTCGACCGTGTCAAAAAACTCGCAGCCTCTCACGACGAGCAGCTGAAGCTCGCTCATCTCGGAGATCCGGAGTGGGAAATATCTTCCCGTCGGGTTTAAGACGGCGAGATTCTCGATCGCATCGCGGCCCGATTCGAAAACTTCCCGCATCTCAATTTTCCCGATGTGATTTCCCTCCAAAACGAGCGTCGATATTTTCTCGTCTTGCTTGGCGATCACAGTTTTTATGGCCCCGTGCCCGACCGCAATCTTCCCGAGCCGGCATTCGAAAGTCGTGGCGAGGCCCAAACGGACGCCTCGGAAAAAATGGTAGTATTCCCGAACGTCGAACTTGAACAACCGGGAACCGCTCGACACGACGCGACCCGATTCTTGATTCTCGAGCAACCCGAGTTCGAGAAGCTCGATCAAGACTCGGTGGCCCTCCTCGTACGCATCCTCGATCCGCGTGAAATGACCTAAATGCCCCTCGAGTATCCAATACGTGATGAGCTCGTTGTACCCGACCGGTTGCCCTCGGGTGAGAAAATGCCCCTCGAGAGTCTCCGTGCTGAAACAGTCCATCAATACGCTTTTCGGGAGGACATTTTCGTACCGATTTATAAGCATCGTAACCAAATCGTCGAAACTCAACGGGCCATACTTTTTCTTCTCCTTCTCGAGTTTCTCCTTGTCGTTTTTAAGCATTCGAAGCCGAGATTCGTCCTTCGCGAAATAACTCAAGGTTTTCGCGACGATGAGAATCTCGGAAGGGAATCTGCGGCTCTTCTCGATGAACTCGTCAGCCAACTCGTCTTTGATAATAAACGATTTCGCCTCATTTTGAGTCCAAGGCATCACCATCATCCCACGCTCGCCTGGCGCGGGCCGGTTTTTCCTAGTGACGAGGATTTTAAAAGATTCGAGCTTACTAAACGCAATAATTTCGTGCAAATTTATACCTTCTTCTTCTCCCAATTTACTCAAACAAGGCCCAGTGATATGGGATATAACCTCGTGGATCGAGCCAACCGAGTCACGACTAAACCGAGTATCGACCTCACAGCTAAACTACGGGTATTGACCTCGCACCTAGACGACAAGGATCTACCCTGCACCTCAGGGATCGACCTTGCACTTAGCATCACTGTAAACCAAGGTCAATCCCACCAGCATAAGTAAAACCCTTGGGTAATACCCAACTTGATATAACCCGGACAATAAAGTGTCCACATATGAGATAAACGTCTATATATATATAGGGAAGTATTAATTTCAGAGGTAAGTAGCATTTATTATTCAACAACCACAATACACCCACTGTTCATCTTCTTCCAAAATCTCCCTATTCTAACTTAAGCTTCGGAGGGTTTTGACGCCGGAAAACCTCCGGCGTCCCTTTGCAGGTACTCGCAAGCTCCAACTCTAGCCGGAGACCGGACGAGAAGGCCATATCTCTAAGCCTAGGACCGTTCTAGACCGGAGCCACTCACACCAGGCCTTATCACCCAGGATTCTGACTACTATTATTATTATTATCCAACTTTGCATTGAACTCCATTTTACTTCCTTCATTGTCTAATATCAAGAGAAGCTTCTTTTTTTCCAATTTCGAATCTATCTTATCGTTATCGTCACCTTGTATCGACAACTGATAATCGATACTCTGTTTAAGACTCGCGACATCGTAAATCCTATCGAGATATACCCAAATCGCAAAGTCGAATTTTCCTTGTCTTATGGCACGATCGGCTATTTTTTTTGCCATCCACGTTTTTCCTACTCCCGATTCGCCGTAAAGAATCATTTTGGCATTGTTCATGTTTTCCAAATACTTATACATCCTTTCCAACTGATCCATTACATTTGGATTCTTTAGTAATCTGCCATTAATGATTCAATTAACATGTGTTGAAGATTCTTTAGATTAATGAGGAGAAAAAAGTTTTTTAAAAAATCAGTGCTTACTTGATGATCTCGATGAACTCTTGGTATTCGATATCGTGTGCTTCGTTTTCGGTACGAAGCTTAACTTGGTTAATCGTCTCCTTGACTTCCCAATGTGTGAGCTCGACGCCTCGTTTTTGCATGAAAGTTAGGAAAAAATCGACGGGGTCGAGAGGATGATCGTGTTCGTTTTGAGCCTTGTTGAGAAGCTCAAGAGCCTTTTTTAGCAACTCCTCTGATGAATCATCACTTTCTTGGCTTATAATCTTCAGGATTTCATCGATTTTGGCCTTGGCCTCGGTCGTGATCTCTCTCGTCATCGTGTCAGCTTGATCACTCATAATGCAAACTGGAGAGAGAGAGAGAGATTGGGAAGTTGTTGTTAGAACACTCTAGTATTTTTTGACATGAAAATTTAAATAATTTTAAACATAATAATATCACTTAGATAATAAATTCTAATTACTGAGTATAGAAAACAATATGACATTTATAACTATTGTCTACTAACAAAACTATACAATAAATAATATAACAATTTATACTTATATTATAAAATAATACTTGTTTCAAGTATTACTTGTAGTACTAGTTAGATAATATAACTATTTATTTTATAATACGAATTAAATTTCAAATCTATATATATATAAAAAGAATTACCATTTTTTTAAAAATAGTAGGTCAAACTCTGGTCAAATCTCAATTAGCATTAATTACATTCCATACTTTGTAACTTCTTTTTTTTTTTTATTTTTTAAAAAATCAGCATTAAACGCTACCCTAAAATTATGGTATTTGTTACTTTTCTTTCAAAAAATCGTGCTACCATAAAGAAACAATATTACATACCATAAATTTTTGGCTAACTAAAGTGTTTTGTGTTTGGAAACTATTATATTTTCATTAAAACTAATTAAGGTTGATTTAATCTTGAAATGGTATAACAATTTTATTTTTTTTAAATATGCACCCTAAATTTATATATTTTGTGGATTTAATTTAGGTAAATTTCGACTGATGCAAAAGTCAATTTTCTTTCTCTATTTTTATCAAAAAAACTGATTAAAACAAAATCAAGAATATCGAATTAGGAAAAATACTATCACATATATCTTTTACTAATTGCAACAAATCAATTATTTATTATAAATAATTGTAGGGATTTATTGTAATGATACATTTGTAATCAATTATGATGTATGTAAATACATATCCACTTATTTATTACATAAGATGAATGTAACAATACAAGAACATGTTTAAAAGTTATATTTATTAAAATATAGTATATTTTTTTAAGATAAAATTATATTAGTATTATCATAAATAAGAAAATAATATTAATATAAATATTATTATTTTTATTAAATAACAATAAAATCGGATTACATAAAAATCGGGCCAAATTTCAAATTTAAAACTAAAAATCTTTTATCATTTGATTACTACTTTCTTTAATTTAGACTTTTTTAAAATAAAACAAAGTCATATAATATTAATTTGAAATTCAAAATGAAATCGGATTGTAACATCCTAAAAATTTGGGTTTTGTTTAATTATCTAGAATACAAATTTGAAATTGATTGAATACACTTACAAAACAAATAATGATTTCATACACTTACAAAATATCGTATATATCCTGCTAACTAATTTAATCAATTTAGTTAAGACTATATACAATCTTAATATAATTTGTGGTCATAGACGATGTACCAAAAGACCAAACAAATAATTTTGTATACAATGATGTGTTTCATAATATATAACGTTACATTGTGTTTCATTTCAATATATGTATTTTACGTTTTTCCAATCATTCAAATTTAACTGCTTACCTTAATAAAACTAGCTCGTGCATCGCACGGGTACCACACTAGTAATGTAACAAATAGTTTTACAAGATAATTAATTTTAATTTGTAACATAATAATTTTAAAGTTCATACATAATAATAAGAAATTCTGTAATATTATAATTTATAAATAATAATTTCTAAATTCTAACACAATTTCTATAATAAATAAAAATTTGATTAGTAATAAAAAAAATTCTTTGTGTTGTTGTTGTGCTTGATTTAAAATTGGTTCAATAAGATTAAAAAGGGCGCGAAAAGTTATCACAACTTTTATGCAAAGATTTAAATTATAAAAAACTATACCTTGGCCACAACTTGAGACATAGTGAAAAAGAAGAGTAAATAAATTTATATAATTCGAAAAAAATATTCAAAATCATTTTCCTTTGTATGAAACTACAGTAAATTTGGTTTACTAGGAATTAATAGGAACACATATTATTATATATATTAAACAAGAATTTTTTTTAAAAAAAATGTGATTACTATATATATATTAAACAATCAAGGATTAACGGTTACACGATCATAATTTGGAGAAATGCTACGGTCCCGTTACGGTACATCCCCTTAGGTATTTTAACCGTTAGATCCACATCTAGTTAGACAAGATAGATGATCCAACGGTTAAAATACCCGACGAGATGGTACCGTAACGGGACTGTAGTATTTTCTCATAATTTGTGATTATTATATATATTTTATATATATTTATAGGTGCTAGTTGAAATAAAAATCAGTCTCGGTGTGAGAACTATATTTGATGTTATTTTTAATATTGCATGGTGCTATCATTTTCACAAATGTTAATAAAAATCGTATTGTTATTCTAATAAAATATATCCCAATTAAAAATAACACTAAAATATAATCAATCATATCACCAAATACAATTAATAGCGACTCTCACGATTCTCACGCTATGACTTGGTTATCTTAAATGAACCTGGAAGAAGAAGAAGATGCAGATAAATTCACTCTGACCGATCGATCTGCTTCAAATGAGTTGCTGGAATATACTGTAATTGGATATATCAAAGTCTTATAATTAATGTGTGGATATTTATAGCCATAAATTAAGCATGAAAAATATTCTTAATCAACTCGAACAAGTCAAGAATCACGTAATATAATAATATGTCTTTCTTGTACTTCTTATGAAATAAAGTATATAATAAACGTCAAATCATGTTACCACAAAAGCCACAGATGTAATAAAAATGAAAAACAATTTGGGGGACGTTATTAATTAGCTTAACTAATTATATTATCATTGTTTTATTGGCAAAATTGCATATAATATCACGACCTTTATCGAGATTGCAAAATAATCATGACCTTTTAACTTTTGCATACGATATCACATCCTTCAATTCTTTGCAAAACGGTACATACTTTTCGTCTGCTGCCAACTCAAATGCTGATGTGTATTTATCAGGCTATTTTTTTTCCATCTCATCACTGGAACGACGTCGTTTTGTCGGACGTGTTTAAGTTCGTCTTTTTTTTTCTATGTCATCTCCAAACGACGTCGTTTTCGTTTAAGTGCCGATTTAAATAGGAAAAATTGCAATCAATTTTCATTGTGAAACCCTAAAATCATCTTCGTTCCACGTTTCTCTCTGCACTCTGAATACAAAATCTCATCGAATCTCTATTGTATTGTAAAGAAATCTCGAAATCTCGTTGTGGTCCGCCGACAACTTCATGCTGTAAAGAAGATCCTCATTCAATTTGTTAGGCATTTTATAAATTTATACATCACTTACCATTCGATATTTGCACCGGTAATACCTCCTAGCCGGATTCAGATCAGTATGAGAGGTAAGAAGATCGGGCTCAACCCTATGTTTACATTCTAATTTCGGATT